GGGGATGGCCACGCTGCAATCCTTTCTCTTCCATTCTCCTCTCAGGATCTTGGGTACACGTACATGTACACGTACACACACACACACACACACACACAGACGTGAGTTCTAAGTCACTGGGTCTAGGACCCGAACTGTGGTCAACTACATGGGAGTCCAGCGACATAACCATTACACCCTCTGCAGGTCCCAAGGCCAAGCTCTTCTAGATCTAACACCACAACATTTGAGAAGGCCCAGCATCACAGAGGTTCAGAAGATGAAGGGAACCTTCATGCTGACTAAACTCTGAAAGGAATTTAAAAATCAAATTGTACCCACTATTGGCTTAAGATTGGAAGATGAAAGTTTTGTCATCACCATTGAGTATTACACTGAAAATGTCTAATTTTTTCGTGCGTGTTGACAGTTCTTCAAGGGATGCTTGACAAAGCCCTGGATGTCTGTCACTCCCTTGACATGACGAGAATAAATCCGTCTCACTCGCAATCTCCCACCAGCATCCGGCTATCAGAGACGAGCCAAGCATGCGGCGCCCACGTTCAGGCATCAGGGAGCCCCTCCTCAGGGGCCTGCTGCTGCTGCTGCTGCTGCTGAGGACAGCCCGGATTCCAGGGGCCAGGCCTCTGTGAGGCTATTTACTCGCATAGCCACACTGGCTCAGATGGCAGACTGAGTCTTAAAAAGCAGCCATGGAGCCCCTGTGACCAGGAAACCCCCTAACCTAAAACATGCCCTCTCCTGATGCCTCCCAGGAATACTGCATGTGACGATGTCCAGGTGAAGTCCTTCTTATTCATTCCTTCTTTACCCAAGCAGAGTTGCTAACTTCAGGGTGCTGTAAAGCACCTGCCCCTTCGGGCTCAGCCTAGGCTGAGCGCAGACAGAAAGGGATTCCTCCCTTGTCCCTAGTGGGTAGCAGTCAGGGCTGTGGGGTTCCGGGCCTCTTGGTCTGTTAGTGGAAGCTTTGGGTGGAGAGATGACGTCCCCCTGGAGACTCAGATGCCGATCTCCACAGAGAGGTCCACAAGCTACAGCTTTCAATCTACAAAGTTCTTCGGGTTCAGAAAGCTGGTTAAACAAAGGTCAAGGAGAGAAGAGTGTTAGTTTCTGAGGTAACACCTTAGTCCTTGCAGCTCCCAAAAAAAGGGGGGAGTACAGAGTCAAGGCGAGGGGTGCAGGGAACTGGTGGGACACCCCCAGCAGTTGACGTATGGCGTGCTGCCACAATCTCCCTGGGCACAGGGCACCCAGTCTCTGCACATTTCGCCTAAATGATGGCCATGTTAGAGACTGCTGGGGCGATCTCACTTTGAAAGAACTAGACCATCTAAAGCAAATGTCAGCACACTGTTTCTGTAAAACCCAGAAAGCTCTTTACTTTTGGCTTTGTGGGGCACGTGGCCTCTGCAGTAATTGCTCACGTGCCGACAGCCACACACACCGTGAGACTAAGTGGCATGGTTCTGGCCTGCACAGCTTCATCTATGAAATCAACCAGTGGGTCGACTCAGCTTAGGAGCCAGAGCTCACCCACCCCCAATCCATACCGCTGAATCCAGCCGGAGAGGAGACGCCTGGCCACAAACTGGAACTACAGAGACAAGGGCTTCCTACCCCACAGGCTTTCCTGACATGTCCTCCGAATCCACCGTCTCTTCCAGAATCAAATTTTTGACTCAAGTAAAAAAGAATCCCTTCGTTTCCTTAATGTGGGGGCCAGTATGGTGACTGGTTAAGGCACTGGGCTCCCACATGGCTCACCATAGCTCAGGTCCCAGACCTGGCAGCTTGCTTTCTCACTTTCTCCCCCCCACCCCTCTCTCTCTCTCTCTTTCTCTGGAGAGCACAAATACCCTATGGAAAATTAAAAAATAATAATGATAATTAATAAAATCAAATAAGTAATTCTTTTAAAAATAATAATATCAAATACCAAAAATTCAATACACAGCTCCATGTCATTCACAGGGAGGGGATGGACAACAAGACAAAAGCTGCTCAGAGGTCATTCCAAAGGGGCCAGGAAGCCTATCTAGTCAGAGATGCCACCTTCCACATTAGAGAGGCCCTTACCGGGGGCAATTCCAAAAGCAGCATTTTTGGAATTGCCCAAAATTATGGGGCATTAAAAAAAAAAAAAAAAGGAACTACAGGGCATAACAGATTTGCAGTTCAGCCTTAGTAAGGCAAATCAGGAATCTCCATTTTTATCATGAAGTCACCACTCTCAAAATAAACACTATGCTTCCTTCCAGCCTACACTGCTTCGAACAGAACAACATTCACAAGGCTAAACATTTAACAGTTTGTACCTAGGAAATGAGCTCCCTTGAGCAGCCAGGGGGCTGGGGACACCAGCTTTGTGAAAGCTGTGATAGAAGATGACTCTTGAACGCCCTACAAGTCCTGAAAACGAAGATGCCTGATTCACTCCACACTCAGCCATTTCATTTGAAAATGGGCAGAAATCAAGCGGTGATAGCGATTTACAAATTGGCATGTTTCAAAGCTCGGTAGAAGGCCAGGCTTTATCTAGAAGCCACAGCCTACTTGGGCAAGGACACTTTCTAAGGCGGACGCACAGGATATAAAAGCGAACAGAGTTGCCACGGAAGCCTTGTGCTATCTTCAGCCTCTTCTTTTCTCTAAGCCTGATACCACTGCTGCCTACTGAATGTGATTTGCAAGTGCTTGATTGCCTGGAATTTGCAGAATGATATTATTTCAAAAATTAAGAATAAAAATCCTCAGCTCTCAACCAGATGTGCACTTCTCGAGGGTGGAGGAGGGGAGTGCAGTGAGGGGCAATTCACCTGGTTCCAGGCGGCTTCTGAGGGAAGGTCAGAGCTGGGGAAGAGCTGCAGCTGTGTGAATGGGAATGCCTGGTCTCCCTAAGTCCTTCCGCAATGTCTGTTCTGCCCTGAGCTTTACGACTGGCCACAGCATCCTCCCGGACCACAGATACCTCCTTCAGCGTCCACAGGATGAATTACGAACACCAGGCAGGAAGGGTCCTGGGGGAAGTGGGAGCTGGGAGGAGGCGCAGAGAGTTTTCGGCTTTGCTCCAAGAAGTGCGAGGGCCATTCTGAACGATGACATATTTATTCTCGACGCTTCAGGATCTCCTCTCAGTCTATCATAATTAAATATCCCGCTAGACGGAGCCCTTTTTATATTCTGAACCAACCCTATTAGTCCTGGATTACAATGTCATAGGCCTGGTGTCGCAAATCTTTGCAAGAGCATTAGCCGTGTTCAAGGTCTGCCATCTAACATTAGGAGCAGTGAGGACGCTTCCACAGGAAATGAGCTGGCGTCGCCTATCTTACCAATAGAGGCAGAAGCAGTCTAGCTAAGATTACGAGAATGAGCTCTTTCAGTAAGTTTTCTGGTTAACTGAGGATCAAATAGAAAAATATTTTCTTAAGTCCTTACTTCCTTGTGTTTTTTCAGAATGACTACGCTGTACTGATCCACATCCTTTCCAGAACAGGAATCAACATCATTGGCACGACGCATTGCGTCCTGGATGGCTGAGGACCCAGCGTTAATTTTAACATCACACCATCAATATTTTAACGTCGGTGATGATTATATCGACTTGACAGTGCAGGAGTTCAGAAAATCGGACTGACCATGTCCTGAGCCCAGGACGAGGTCCGAGAATTGATTTTAAATAAATCCCTTTTGATCTTTAGAAAAATCCCATTTGTTTCTTTAATAGACAAGTAGGCTCAGAAGCTATGCTCTGGGACAGAGGGCTGCTGGGTCCCAGGCCCCGTACTACACAATGACCGACCCCTCAACAAAGTATCTCTACCTCCTGTACTTCCCTGAGGATGCTAAGAAAAGCTTCTGGAGGCTCAAAGTTCTGGAGGCTCAATGAGGAGTCATTCAAGGTGAAGAAAGACAGGGGCCAGCAGGTGGCGTAGTGGTTAAGGTGTTGGACTCCCACGTGACTGACTGCAGTTCGAGTCTCAGACACTGGGAGGCTTGAAGCTTACACTGGGCACATATGTGTGTATTCCCAAAATCCCAAGAAGAGAATGATTTCTCACTTTTTCTCTGTCTCATGCACACGCCCTATAGCAAAAATCTCTCTTAAGAAAAAAAAAATGGACGGGAGGAGAGCATGGAAAAGATAAATGCCTATAAGAAAGGAGGCCAACAAGGGGTTGGAAGGGGTTGAAAGGACAGAGAGAGCTGGACAGAAAACAGACATATGCAATTCCATTTTTCATATGTACACACAAATCTGAAAGGGTATACCCTAACTTAGTATCCTACTGAGGCAGACATTGATGTAAGCAAAACAGTGACAAAATCGTAGGAGGAGTTATGGACCAGCATCCACTCTGCTGCTATTTCTTTAACAGCCCTGGATGCTGGAGGAAGGACACGCACCGAGCTCCTGATGGTCACGGTGGCTCAACGCTGGCAACGAAGAGGGTTAATTTAGAGGTTAAGACAAGGACTAACTCTCCGATTTTATAGAGAAATAGGATCCTGTTCCCAAAGGAAAACGATATGCTCGGGGGCCAATCGAAGCGCGCAGTATCCTTTGTTCCAAAGTCATGATACCTTGTTGCTCCCCATATTCCATTACCAATCAATTTTGGTTTGAATAACCCAGGTAATTGGAATATGTCCTAACGCCACACAGACCAGGTCAAAAACTCTTAGACGAAGCCTGTTGTCTCTAATCCCTGAATACCAAAATAGCTGCGATCTTTTGCTGAGTGTTCAGCTTTCAGAGAACTCAAGGTCAGCCCCTCTGTAGCCTCCTATGACGACACTGGGGTATAGAGAGAGGCCAGGATGTTAATGAAGCAATCGCGGGAAAGACTGTAAGGACATTTTTATAGAAAATCTCACTCTGGTTTGGTGTAAGTGGATTTCATTAGAGCAGTCACAAAAAAAAAAATGAAAGAAAGAAAAAGAAAAAAAAAAAAAAAAGAAAGAGTAAATAAAACTAAATGGGTAAGTTAACGGCCTACCTATTCCGGAATTAGCTCCAGTGACGACGACCACTTTGCCAGAGAAATCCCGGCCTTGGAGTATCTCCATGGCGGTGGTGCTGCCATCGTATCTCTGTCTGGTGGGTGGTTTTGTTGGGTTGTCATCCACAGTAAATGCCAGTCTGGGGTCTAAGTAGGTGGTTCTCTTATTTATATGGCTGCATGGAGAAGGAGAGAGCGGTGAGCCCGAGTAGCACGCACAGGCATTTAAAAAGAGAAGATAATCTTAGCGTTTAGGCAAACCCCATTTTTCTTGTACCGAAAGGCTTATTCTTAAACTTGAACTGGGGCCCATTTAATCTATCTTCTGTCCTCCGGAAGGATTACATTCCTGCCTGGAAAGATAGTCATCGAATCCTTTCCTTCAGAACTGCCCGTAAAACACGCTATAACATACAATAACCACTGCCTATATCCTTAGATCTCAAAGAAGGCTTCTCAAGGAGGCCGTGGATTTTCATTTAATTCATGTAAATGTGGCTAGAAGATCTGTCTGCTACTTGTCTCAGTAGCTTTCAGTGAAATCCCTGAGCCCTGTGCAAGGGCCTGAAGGCTGGCAGGGAAGCAGAAAACTCAAAGATAAAAAGTCTTACAGTAAATAAGAAATTGGCAACAAATAAAATTCTAATAATTTTTGTTATAAGGCTGTACTCATCCCTCCTACAAGCCCTCTTTGACTTGGCCTTGACCTCAGTCTTATAGAAACATTAAAAAAAAAAAAAAGATAAATTGGTGCGTTAAGCATCTCTAATCCAAAAACCCAAATTCCAAAAAGTCTATCAAATCTGAAATTTTCCAAGCACTGATATGATGCCACAAGAGAAAGTGCCACACCTGACCATGGGACAGCCAGAACACTAGCACACCACTCGGCTCACTCGGCACTCCTACAGGAAAAAGACTTTCCCACCCCCTTCAGCAGTGAGAGGTGGAAATCCAACCCCAGAATACCCCATTACATACATGCAAGTATCCTGAACTCCAGAGAAGTCCCAAATCTGAAACACTTCTAATCCCAAACATTTCCGATGAGGGAGACTCAAAGTGTACATATACATTACGACCTCATAGAAAATAGTTCTTTCCATTTAAACATGCTCTTGGGATTAAAAATCACAAATCATAAAAACCACTAAAACCCTCCCAAAATAGATATGATTTCATACCTTCAAATGTATTTGTAGTGTGTGTGTGTGCGTGTGTGTGTGAGAGAGAGAGAGAGAGAAATTATATAGTTTAGATCCAACACTCATTACTATATAAAACTAAAACTTGGGGCTAGCAGGTGATCCGGTGATTAAGACACTGAACTCCCACAAGGTCAACCAAGGTTCAAGTCCTGGAGCTTGCTTTCTCACTTTCTCTCTCTCTTTATCTCTCTCTCTCTCTCTCTCTCTCTCTCTCTCTCTCTTGGTCTCTCTCTGGTGAGCATGTGTTCCCTATGGCAAATTTAAAGATAGTAATAATAAATAAAATTAAGCAATTCTTAAAAAACAAAAAAGACCCCCACATCACACGCAGACAAGGCTGGGCTTGCCATCACTGCCTTATGAAAACCAAATGTGCTTATCGGCCGGGCCCCTCAGTGACTTCACCTGGGTCCTTTGAAGCTGGCTATGATGAAAGTATAAACCCCAGGGGAAAGATCTGGGCCTCTTTCCCCCTAAAGAGCTGGTTGTTAAACATTCACAAGCACAGAACTGCGACAGGCTCCGAGACGTAGGACAATGACTGGCCAAGGGGCCGAGAGCTGGGTGGCCTCGGAGCTCTTGCTGAGTGAGTCTCTAGATTGGGCTGGAGTTTGCTAACTCCTGTCTTCATACAAAAAGCTCCACTGCAGCAGAGCAATGCCTGCCATGTACACAGGGCCTGCAGCTGCTTCAGCATCACAAAGACAGAGCGGATGGATTTCAGCAGAAACCACCTCAGAGACCCTCCAAGCCTAAAGCATAGCAATATCGTCTGCAAAAACAGGTGACTGTCCCCACTGCCCAGTCGGCCACGCAGGATAGAGCCTCCTTAGCCACCACGCCAGCTGGCTGGCCTGGCAACTATGTTATTAAGATAATTTCTATTAGAAAAGCAAAATGGCCAAGAATAGTTTCTCTGTAGACACTTACTCCACGAAAAACACTTGTCCATTCTCATCGGTTTCTTGTTCCCATCCGTATGGCAAATCTGAAACAAAGGAAAGACTGAGAGGTCTATCTGTGGTGGGGGGAACTAAAGCCCTGACCCAAGGAGGAAGGGAAGGTGCCATGCCTCTCCCCAGCCCATGTTCCTGGTCTTGTCCCTCCTGACCGACAGCTGTCACTTCGACATGCTTTGATCACAGGTGCCAATGGCGGCAGTTAGAGAAGGCCCATTATCCCACTGGACCCCACATTTCTGCCTCTTGCTTGAGAGAAAATACTATTTCGTTACTGATCATCCTTAAATGCTCCCCTCAGCTCCTGCTTTTGCAGGGAGTCCTACTGGTGACCCCGTTGATGGGAACACTCCCTGACATGAGCTCACAGAGCCTATCTGTACACTTAGCGGGCACCCAACATCATCCGGAAACCAACCTGGAATGCCTCAAAACTGACCAGGAACGCCCAAAAGACATTCCAGGGCAGTTCTGTGATTTTCCATGTTTACTCATCTCTTCAACCAGACATAACCCTCCTCAGGGCAGGGATCTTACACTTCTATTCCGTGGATCACACACTTCTCAGAAGCATGTCAAAGTCACGGCAATCTTTATGGAAGTCCATAAAATATTGATATGTTGGATTCCATGGTATAAACCAAGAACAAATTTACATAGGAAAACCTAATCAACAGTGGGTCAAAGGCCCCAGCTATCTTAATACTTCTTTGCTTAAAATCAGTAAGAAATCCTCCTCCTCCACTCCAAGATCTCATTGCCTCCCTCTGCTAAATCCCATGAGGTCCTCGCACTGAGGGTCCAGTTTCTTGATGGTTTCCTACCAGAACCTTCCTGAATGACACAGTGACCTGACAGCTCTCTGCCCATGACACTGCTTTATCTAATCAGTGTTTCAAAGACAAGGTTCTTCGCTTTCCGATGACGACATACGAACCTCCTGCAACGCGCTTTCTTTTCCCAGTCTTCGGGTGCTCCCATTGAGTCTTCTCCTCTGCGTGACTGTTAAGAAAAATTCACACACAATAAGGAAAAGTTAACACTTCAATAAAGTAATTAATTGCATTAAAGTTTTTCTCTCCCAGATAATACTCTCTCAAGGAGTATGATCAAAGAAGAAATACGCAGAACACCAATGTGGCTGTGCATCACATCCATCCTGCAGAAATTTCCTGCCAGCCTGCCTTTGCAAGCCAGCAGTGGAGGGGAAGGTGAGGACTGGGACCCCAGCAGGGGCCAGCCTCGCTCAGAATATCTAGAGGTGTCGTGTTTTATATCTATGTTTTTAGTCACAGAGAGTGCATCAACATTCTTCCGGTCTAACTTATAATGCTGATTTTAGATATGATTTAGATACAAATTTAATCTTTAAATGTTTATGCTTTCTATAGTTGTAACGTCGAAGAGTTCCACGAAACACTGATTCCTAACTGTTCCTGAGAGGTGGTTCAGGATCCAGGAAGACAGCCCACTGGTCACCTAGGACCCGTCTTCAGGCAGTTTACGCAACCTCTTGGCCTCTATCTCCTCATCTGCAAAACAGAAGGAATTCTAGTACTGACCTCAGGGCTGCTAGGAAACTACTGTAGATAAACTATTTTACACAGGCCCAGCCCCATAGCCTAGTGGTTAAGGGAGTTGGACCCACATGGCCTACAGCAGTTCAAATCCTGGCCTGGTAGCTTGAAAAATTTGCTTAGTGCATGGGGATTCATGCCCCAAATCCCAACAGGACAGTGGGATGCAAAAGTGACTGTAGCACACCCACCCCCACTGAGGGGAGTTTTCTTTCTCTCTCTCTTCCCACCTCCCTCTCTAGTGAGGGTACACACCCTCTGGCAATTAGAAAAAGAAGAACTGGAGCCAGCAGGTGGTGTGGTAGTTAAGGTGTTAGACTCCCATATGGCTGACTGCGGTTCGATTCCTGGACCTGGCAGCTTGCTTTTCCCATTTTCTCTCTTTCTGGTGAGTGCACATGCCCTATAACAAATTTAATAATAACAATAAATAAAATTAATGTTTTTAAAAAAGAATTTTTGCACAGTACCTGGCAAATAAAAAGCACTCAAAAGTGCTAGGTATTATTTTGATCAAATCAATTAAGCAAACTAGACTGATTCCAACACCAAAGGTAGCCTTTTATATCAGAAAACTATACAAAGTTATTATTAAAGTACTGGGTCAGTAGAACCAGCCCCATAGCCTATTGGTTAAAGGAGACCAATCTCACATGACTGACTGCAGTGTGAACTCCAGCCCTAGTGGCTTGGAAAACATGCCTGGAATGTATGTGTGTATACCCCAAATCCCAAGAAGATGGAAAAATGTAGAAGGGATTGTGGCATGACCATTGCCCTACAGGGAGATGCCTCCTCTCTGTCTCTGTGGAGAGTACACAGCCTTCTGACAACTGAAAAAAGAAAATAATGGGCCAACTAACAGCACCTGTCACCAGATGCTAAGGTATCCAGGAATACGTACAATTAGTCAGGGAAACAGGCAGCTGCTGCATGAGGCAATCAAAGGGCAGGATAGATTCCCCAAGGGTTCACAAGCCCAGAAAATATTACATAATCACCTCTATTGATGGATGAGAAAATCTGAATACTTTTCTCTTTCAATTACTGTAAAGAAAATAATTATAGAGAGCATAAATTTCTATAAAATTGTGCAAGCTGCCAGCAAGGTCTGCTCACAAACTGCTGGCTTCTGGTCTGTTTCCACAAACTTGGTGGCTGGGCCTCTGTCGCGGTGCAGGGACACTGCACTAGCAGGCAGGATGCCTAGGGTCCCCAGACTGGCTGTGTCGTTCTGCTCCCTGGCGGTGCACCCACCTCCCAGGGCGGCTGGAAAGGCAGGACACGCACTCGCGTGGCAATGCTTGGAAAACGTGGAGGTGTACCAGTGTGTAGCATCAGTAGCAAAGGCCAGCCCCTTCATCCTATCGCGGCCATCACCAAATTCAACTTGTAGCAAGGGAAGCACCGACAGGGTTACTCTCACAAGGAGAATGCGCTCCTCGTGGGCACAGTGAGAACAGGAGCATACTGACTCCTCCTTGCCCTCGCACCCTGAAGGGAATGCAATAGGTACCCCACACCCACAGGCAACAACCTGCAACGCCCCAGTTCCTTGCTCCATCACGCTTACAGTTTCCCCAAGGAGGCTAAGAGGTGCAGATGCATTTCCTTGGCCTGACATTAAAAGGAGTCTTCACCTCCTTGTGCACCTGCCTCCAAAAATAACCTGCCGTTAAGAACACGAAGTGGGGCCCGCAGGCGGCATGGTGGTTCGAGGGCTGGGTCTCACGTGGCGCATTGCACAATTTAAATTCCAGATCCTCCAGAGACTTGAGAAACATGCCAGGTACACATGTGCCCAAAATCCTGAGGGAGATGGAGAAGAAGGAATTGCAGTGTGGCCATCCCCACCCCTGGGCGGGAGGTGGAGAGTGAGAAGGTAGGGAGTGGGGAGATGGGGGGGCCAGATTTCTCACTTTTCCTCTTTCTCTCTGCCTCTCAGGTGAGTGCACACTCCTTATATCAGAAAAAAAAAAAAAAAAGAAAGAAAGAAAGAAAGAAAGAAAGAAAAGAAAAGAAACAGAAGAGCAGGAAGAGCTGCAGGAGTGGGGGGCTGAGCCTTGAGGGCAGGTAGGCTGTGGAGGAGCACCGGGGCCTGCACCACCCAGCCCCGTGCCGACTGCCTACCCACAGCAGGTGCACAAACAGAAACATGTGGAATCAATCAGCATGTCCCAAAGGGCTACGACATCCACTCAGAAGATTTATCTGCCCTAAGAGACATTTTAAAAACACGACATAGGCCTGGGACCACACGGAGCCCCAGCTCCCAGGCCTGGTCCGCCCCACAGGTGCCTGTCACCCCAGCACCTCCGAGAGCTGACGCAGGAGCATCTCAGGCTTGAGGGGGAACTGGGTAAAACAGCAAGACCATGTTGTAAAAAAAAGGCAGGCAGGGCAAGCATGGCCTAGTGGTTAAAGGAGCTGGATCCCACACAACTGACTGCAATTATTGTTTTTGTTTTTGCAGAAGTTTTTCGTTTGTTTTTGCCTTAGGGTGTGCATACTCAGTGGAGAGACGGAGACATTGAAAGGAAACAGAGACATTCTCATCCTCCAGGGGGAATGGCCACGCTGCAGTCCTGTCTCCTCCATTCTCCTACCAGGATTTTGGGCACGCACACACACACGCACCAGGCATGAGTGTCAAACCACTGGGTCCGGGACTCAAACCATGGGCAGTATGTGGGAGACCGGCGATGCTGGCCCAGTGACCGCGGTTTCAGTCCCAGGTTTCCCATCTTGAAAACCATGTCAGGTGTGCGTGTGTGCATGCCCAAAATCTCAACAGGACAGAGGGGGTACTGTGGCAGGACCACACCTCACTACGGGTGATTTCTTCCTTTCCCTCTGTCTCTCTGGTGAACACATGCAACCTCTGGCAATCAGAAATAAAAAAGCCTGGCACAGTGGCACACACCTGCGATGCCAGCCAGGAGGCTCGGGCAAAAGAATCACAGTGCACTGAGACTCTGTTCAATCCTTTTTTTTTCTTTTTTTTAATAAACAAAATGTACTTTGTCCACTCAGATGTTTTTTCTTGGGTGGGGGAGGGAGGTTTTTGCTCTAGGGCACATTTACTCACCAGAAAGGCAGAGAGACAGAAAGTGAGAAATCACACTCCAGTCGGGATAGCCATGCCACAATCCCTTCCCCTCCATTCTCCTCTCGGGATCTTTAGCACGGTGTGAGTTTAAGCCACTGGGTCTGGGACTCCAACCGTGCTCGACTACATGGGAGTCCAGCGACATAGCCATCATGCCAACTGCTGTTCCCCCACTCCTATTCTTGACTTTGACAATGCTGTTGCCATTTGGGCTGGATCAGTCTTTGCTGTGGGGCCGTCCTGGGCTTCCCCACTCAGTGCTCAACAGCCACCTTCCAGAGCTGAGACATCAGAAAGTCTCCAGACACTGTCTACGTTCTCTGCAGAATGCACTCGTCCCTGCAGAAGGCCCGGACCTAACTGAAGTGGAGACAGAGTAATATGGGAGTGAGGATCCCAGAACCTGATTGCCCAAGTGTTCTGGCTCTCCCACACACCAGCCACGCCACGTACCCTGTCATTTAACACCCCCGCCTCAGATTCCTTATCGGTAAGATGGGATGGTAACAGCACCTATCCGGGGGGTCACAGAGGACGACATGAGTATAACAAGGAGTAAAAACTGTGCTTTCGACACAAGTATTTTGATTGCCAGAGAGTGTGTGCACTCAGTGGGGGGGGGGAGAGGGAGCACCCCTGTGATGGGGCGTGGTCGCACTGAGATTCCTTGTCCACTTCTCCATCCACTCTGAATTTTTGGCACACATGCAATCGCTCCTGCTGTGTTTTCCACACTGTTCAGCTGGGATTTGAATAGCAGTTAGCTTTGTGGGATCTAGATGCCTTGACCTCCAGGCTATGGGGCTGACCCAAAGCATGATTTTAAATACTTGAATATAAGAATTAAAATAGTTTTTAAATTGTAAACTTAAAAGACTTCAATGAAAAGGAAATTACAACACCTATCCCCAAAGTAGTTTCTTATTCTCTCTTAAATAGTAGCCCTCTTTTATTTTTTGTCAATAAGCACTTTTGCATGTAAGAGATGATTTTCAGTAATCTTAACTTAAACCAAAGGGATTGAGATTAAATGCCTACCATGCTTCATGAGTACCACCTCAATGGGTGCTTTTCCAAGGCTGTTCTGCTTCTGAAGCACAGCTTCGGTTAGTCGGGAGATCTAGAGCGACTGGGAGAAGGGCCAGTCTGTGGGCCAAGGAACCCAACTGGGTGAGGCCTGAGCTGCAGAATAAAAGGGGGACAGGGAGGAAGACCAGGGGGGCCCTAGAAGCTGTAGCAAGGCCATGTTTCCTGTCTCCGTCTCCCATGGGATACTGCTCTGGGACTGCTGGGAGGTGGACAGGCCCACCAGCTCTCTGGCTGCAGCTGTGCCCTCCATGGTGCGCTGTCCCTGGCACCCCCTCTTTACCTCTCCCACGGCGCCGAGTCTCATAGGCCTCAGGGCAACACAAAATGTGTGCGTTTGAGGTCTGAGTGCACCCCCAGAGTACATGAGAAAGACTGAGAGGCCCGCAGCACCCACCTAACAGCACAGAAGGAAGGCTCTACAATGGGGTTCTCCAAGACCCGGGAGTCTCAGTGGGAGCCTCTGTCCTTGGGCATGGCTCTGCCTCAGGTGGAAGGCGGCCGTTTGGAAAAGGTATGACTTGAAGGGTAGTCTCCTGAAAGCCCAGCAGCAAAGTTCTACAAGCCCCAAGAGAAAGATACGTGTGTTGCTTCCAGAGTTAGGTGAGAAAAGGCCAGGATGCTCAAGAAAGTCTGGCGTCCCTCAGCTGAGAGAGTCACAGAACAGAGGGCCAGGGACTGGAAAGAGGGTCTAGAGCGAAGCACCCTCCAGTAGGGAGCCAGCCACATCCTGTCCACACAGTGGACTCAATGCACCAGTAAGGCCAGCTGGAGACATGGGGGACGGAGGGACCTTCAGAAACCATGTGCACCACCAAGTGCCCTGGCCGTGGGCACTTAGGAAGTAAGCAGATGGAAAGAGGAAAGGCCAAGCACCAAGGATGGGGCAAGGGGCCTCCAGGCTCCACGCCCAGCTTCAGGGCACACTGGAAGAACAGGGAGCCTCTGGGGTAAGTGGTCAGAAGCGAAGGGTTCCCCTCACCCCTCAGAGTGGCAGGCAGAAGAGGGCTCAGGAAGCCAGGATGCTGGTTGCAGGCACCTTTGCATCTCCAGGACCTAGCATGCTACCTGCCCACCGTTAGCCACTTAGCTTGCCAGGTGCACTGACTTATTCAGCCCACCTGTACTGACTCACAGCTCCTGGTGCAACACCCTGGGGACAGAGGTGAACGAGAAGAGGTCCCTGCCCTCTAAGTACCAAGCAACAGCCATACAAGAGGAAGGGCACTAGGGCCCAAGGTTCCAGGGTGGTGCTGTTCGTGCTCAGCTCTGAGGGGTAAGGAGCCTTCACACACAGAGCTCCGGGCGGGAAGAATGGAAATGGCCTGTTCTGGACCCTGCCTGGACCCCGCCTGGACCCCTGCAGCAGCCTAAGGACTCCCTGCTGCCAGAGCTGTCCCTTCTCCAGAGCCAAAATCCTTCTAAAGGCACAAGCCTAACGTCACTTCCTGGCTCCAAACCTTCAGTGGACATCCAGGCCTGACAACAGAGCCCAAGCTCCTCAGAGGGCACAGCAGGGGCTTCCCTCCTCAGCCTCACCTTCATGCTCCTGCATCACCACACTCACCTCGGGCCCCTGGACAGGCCATGCCTGGGTCTCTCCCGGGGTCCTTCTGCCCTCCAACCTACCTACTTCTAAGGCATAGAGTCGCCAACTGCCCCAGGCCACCTCCCAGGCCCGGCCTCACCTGACCACACGCACCTCAGGGTACACGCTGCTGCTCCACACTGCGTCACTGCCCCAGAGCACGGGGCACTCATGAAGGATCACAGCGGGGCTTACTTCTCTCCCAGTGACCCGTGCTCAGCAAGGGGCCTGCCATGCAGGACTCTGTGCGTCTCGAGCAATCTCATCAGGGCTTTATTGTTTTCTCCTGCTTCTGTCCCTATCTGGTCATCAAAGACAACAGGGTGGCTTGAACCACCTGGGAATATTTTATAACCTACCTACAGCAGGGAGGGGAGAACACAAAGCACTTGAATCAGAATTTCTGGAAGTGGGACCCAGGAAAATGAAAAAGTTTTCCAGGTGCTGAAAATCGCTGATTTACATCCATATTCGTCAAAGCTGCTTGATAATCTGCCTCACCTAAAAGCTTTAAAAACACAGAGTCCAGGGGTCGGCAGGTGGTATGGTGACTAAGGGCACTGGACTTGCATATGGTCAGCCTAGGTTTGACTCCCAGACCTGGCAGCTTGCTTTCTCACTTACTTTCTCTCTCTCTTTCCCCATCCCTCCTTCCCTCCCTCTCTGGTCAAATTAAAATAAATAAGTAAAGTTAAATAAAATAATTATTAAAAAAAAAAAATAGAGAGAGTTTCCAAATCGGGAGTTTGCTGCAGCAGGTTCTCCTCAAAGACCTGTAACCTGCTCTTAAGGTGCTCTCCCGGGGACTCTCATGTCAGACTGTCACCGCTGCAGAGACATCAGGAAACACTGCCAGGTATTAAACAGTGTCTATCGGACCCTGTGCTACGTGCTTTATGCAGTGACCACTAACCCTCCTATCAACCCATCTGACAGATGCGAAAACTGAGACTAGGCGGTCTTTCAATGCCCCAAGGTCACAGTATCGGAGGAAGGCCCTTCCAAGGTTTCCAAAACTTTCTCGGGAAACGATGGTGAAGCCTACCTAGGACGTTTATATATATATATGCGTAGTTAGTATATATGGCCTCCTGGATCTCCAACCCAGACCTCCTCCCCGCCCCAGGAAGAAGCGGGCGTCCGCATTTTTAAAAATACTTTAACACCTGGGGCACAAGACCAGTGGCCAAAGCCGCAACGTGCAGTGCCGCCTCCCGGGCAGCAGGGGGCGCGCCTGGACGTCGCCAGGTAACGTGCTGGCCCCGGGGCTCGCCGAGGACCGCCCCTTCTGGAGACCCGCGAACCCTTCAAGTCACCGCCGCTGCGCACCGTCCTGCCTAGCAGGAGCGCGGGCCGCGCGGGCGGCGTTCCAGGCCAGCACCGGGACCCAGGCGCGAGAGGCCCTCAGGGTTCCAGTGGTCGCTGTCCAGGTGCGTCCCAGGCCCGGCCCCCCGAAGCCTCCTTACTTGGCATAGTAAACCCAGCCGTCCTTGGTGGTTCTCTCCTCCCAGCCCGGGGGCAACTCGTCCTCGCTGTCCGTGTCGTCCAAGCCTGCGTAGCGTAGGGCTGCCATGGCGGACAGACGCGCTCGGTCACCCGCTTGCTCAGCTGCCCACTGCCGGGTCTCCTCACCCAGGAACTCACTCTCGCTACAACCGAGCGTCGCGCGCGTCCCGGCCTGACCGCTCACGCCTGCGTACTGCGCCGCGCAGAGCCGCTCAGCCGATTCCACGCTGAGAATCCGGTCTCCGTGGTTTTGCAGCTCCCCATGTGAAAGGGGCGGGGCCTGGGGAGACCGGCTGTCAAAGCGCGGAGGAAGTCGCACTGCAGTGCGGTTGGAAGAAAAAGGTGGAGAGAGTCCAGGCCGCGGGGCATGGAGAGGAGCTTCGTCTGTCTGTGGGCAGCAGGGAAGGGGCGTGCGCGTCTAGTGTTAGTCCAGGACTCCTCCCGTTGCTGGGCGACCCATAATCACTTCCTTGTTTCTGGCCAATCCTGATGGAGCCACAGCAATTGGGCACCCTGGGAAATGTAGTCCACGCCCAACCGGACTAGAAAGTGGAACAGAAATGAAGGATTCCGAGGGGGTAGAGTCCCAAGTTCCAGTCTCCTCTTGTTTTAGGGCTTTTTGATCAACATCTCTGATCAAAAGCCTTCCAGGGCCTGTCACCACCCGGGCTGATTCACAAACTTTAATGTGCACGTAAGCACGACGTTACGTAAGGTAGAGCGTTTAAGACTGCAGATTCCTGCACCTTTGGTTTCCCTGCCTCAGGGTAATTTCTTCAGCTCACAGGGAGAAGCACTTAATGTGAGCCTGAGCCAGGAATTCACAGTTGTCTCGCACACCTGACCGCTCTGAGAAGGGCGCACAATTCAGAAAGAGTCGCTAACTACGCAAGGAGGCTGAGCTGGGAGCAGAGCAGGGCAATTCCTGGCCCCTGGGCCCCCATTTACTGCCTGACAGGTTTGTGTCCTCCGTGTGCTCCCGACTGCCCTGACAGCTCTGCATCTGATGCCTTTCCAGGACTAGCATTGAGCAAAACACTTAGAGGTGAGAGTTTACTAAGTGGACAAATGAGTGAAGGGATGTGTGTGATTCCTTCGGTTTGATCCTCTTCGAATCAATCTAATTAAAAACAAAATAGCAAATTTACAAAATAGACGCTCTAGTCCTCTCTGAGCACCTACGAGTGTCCTGTAAATGTCCTATATCCAAAATCTGAAATATATCTTCAGCATGCCCTTCTAGGAAGTTACCCAGAATATTTATTTATTTATTTATTCATTCATTCATTCATTCATTTTTAATCATGAAACAAAGGATGCTTTAATGGTACTTTTTTAATATAATTTTCTGAGAGAGTAAAGCAGTTTCACGTGTAAATTTGGGGGATAAGAGCACCCTGAAGTTCATGATGGTGTTCTCCAAGGCACCAGACGGGGCTCACGCTGCTCATCCCCTGTTCACACATAGTTCCTCTCTGCGTCCAGTAAGGGGATGCCTTCCACCTCATCCCAAACCACCCTCAGTTGTGTCCCTTCATGAGAATTGACTCTAAGTGTCCTCTGGAGTAGCAAACAGAGGCACCTCAGTTGTCCTGGGTCTCTTCACCCCACGTTAGAGGGAGATCTGCTGACCATGATTTCTCCGTCCTAGGCCACAGAAAACATAAGCCCTCAGTCAGAGAAATTACATTTTGGGGTCCAGACAGTGGCACAGTGGTAATGCAAGGCCATGCAATGCTGGCTCCACATGGGAAGGTCCTGGGTTCACATCCCCACACCTCTCTGTCCACTCTCATCCCCGCCGACTGAGGCTGGGGTGGACCCCTGCACTAAGAATCTGGAGGGGTACCTCTTCTCTTTCTTGCTCTCTCGTTTTCTCTCTCTCAGAAAGAATAAATAAATGTAATAAAAAGAAAGCTGAGATGTTAAAGGGCAGAGGAGCAGTGCTGTTTTTGTTCAAGCAGTAAAGTTGATCGCTGCTTTTGGATTCCTGCTCTGTGGGCTCTTTCGGAGAGAGGCTAGCTTTCCGACCTTGCTCAACCAAAAACATTTGAAATGAAAGCAGCTTTTAACAGACCTGCTATCCCATCTCCAGCCCATCATCCATAACAGGACTCTTCTCAACTGCATGTGCCTTTAAATGTGATACTGTTAACCTGACACTCCCCTCAATGGAGCTCCTGTCCCTTCTCACCCACACCCATGTACTCATTCCGTAAGAATAAGAAAGTAGGTCCCAGCATCCTCTGATTGTGAAAGGGGAATGACTAAGTTCAACCTAATTAGCCTCAGCTCCTCCATCATTCTCTGTGACCGTTGTTGAGTGTTTCAAGGACTGCCTGCCTAAATTTATCTTGAGTTGTCCTGCCCAGAACCTCTCCTGGCACCTGTTGCTTGAGACCTAGGGTCAAGCCACAGACAGTGATATAGTGCAATACCCCCAAGCTGAGCTGTGGTCCCTGGTAGAATTCCAAATTTCTGGGTCAACCCTGTGCTGCTCCTATAGCTTTAACAACCCTCCACCCACATGACTTCTGCTATGACACCAATGCTTCTGAGCTTCAGCACTGCTGGGGGTTGGGGCCAGATAACTTCATTGTGAGGTTGTCCAGTGCACTGTGAAATGTCTAGCAGCACCACTGGCCTCTACCCACTAGATTCCAGTAGCGTCCCTCCTCCCAGTTGTACCCGCTCACGATGTCTCCAGATGTGACCATGGTTGGTCCCGGTTGAGACCCACGGATCAGCAATGTTTCAGTGAATTTCCACCTCTAACCTGTAAAAACCAAAAAGCTTTATTTGGAGTCTTAGAATTGCACCCAGGAAGCACAGATTCCATGTAAATGGGAGAATATTTCAAGGAGCTGAGCAGAAGAGATTGGTTTTATAGACAGAGAAGGGTTGAAAAATCATTGACTCACTCAGTACAGAGGTGGATTGGCCAAAATTACTCTCTGGCTGCATGGCCTGGTGGTTAAGGCAGCTGATCCCTCAGGGCCGCCATCAGTGTTGCTCAGTCTTGCACCCAGCAGCTTGAGAAACACACTGGGCATGAGTGTTTGCCCAAATCCCCGAAGGAGGAGATGGGAGGAAGAGACTGTGGCATGACCCCCACGGCAGGGCGTGAGGGGTGCTTTCTTCTCTCCCTCTGTCTCTGTCTCTCTCTGGTGAGTGTTCGTGTCCTCTGGCCAATCCATTTAAAAGTGACTTTACTAGGAAGGCTTAAGGACTTTCTTACTATGTTGACTCGGGTAAACTGGAATCTCTTGTTTTTAGGAAAAACTGGTTTGCTTTAATATCTATCTGCTTTCTTAGTTTCCGTTTGATGATGTGGGCATCTTAACATGAGTGAATCCATTTTGGTCTGGTTTGTTGGGGCCCACGGTAAGTGCTTAGTCCAAAACAATAGCCTCCTATCATTTCATTTGACAACTGACAGTAAATCAGGCGATAACGAAATCAAGTGAGTTATGCTGAGATTTATTTGAGGCATTGAAGAGCCCCATCCAGGCAGGAGATTTGAGAAGGAGAACGTGGACACGGTTGGCTAAGCACAGGTTCTGGTTGCTGAGTTTCGTAGCGCCTTCTGGGTACATCTGCCCCTCAAATTGGGAGCCCACCTGCAGGTCAGGGCAAGACTGGCAGAAATGTATTGGTAGCTGGCTAGTGCGGACACCAATAATCCTCCCAAATGGTCCTCATGATCTCATCTGTTCCCCGCTCTCTCCCTGCACTGTATTTGTTGAGCTCTGTCAGATGATTATAGAAGTAAGGCCTATGAGGATTTAGAGACTTCTGAGAGTCAGCATGCCAAGTTTCAGGATTTACAGTCTTTTTTTTTTTTTTTTTTGAGAGATTTTTGCTATAGGGTGCATGCGCTCGCCAGAAAGAGAGACAAAGAGACAGAAAGCAAGAAATCACCCCTCAGAGGGATGGCCACGCCGCAATCCCTTCTCCTCCTCCATTCTCCTCTCGAGATCTTGGGCACGCACACACACACAATGGCCTGAGTTTAAGCCACCGGGTCCGGGACTCAAACTATCGTCAACTACATGGTAGTCCAGGCACATAGCCATTATGCCAACTGCTGGTTCCACAATTTACAGTCTTTTTAGGCTATACTAAAACATGTTTTATTCAGGCTCATTTGATTAAAAGGAGCAGAGACTCCTTCAAGAAGAATGCATGGGAGGCCAGCAGGTGGCATGGTGGTTAAGGGCACTGGACTCCCACATGGCTGACTAAAGTTCGAGTCCCAGAACTGGCGGCTTACTTTCTCACTCTCTCTCTCTTTCACTCTGTCTCTCTCTGGTCAAATTAAAATAAATACATAAAGTTAAATAAAATAATTCTTAAAACAAAAAAAGAGTGCATGGTCAGAGCACATGTGAACTGAACAAGAATGTTTTTAGAGACAACACACAGGGAACTCAGGCAGAGGACATGTTTTCCTCTTGGGCTTTCACGATGTTATCACCCTGCACTGCCTAGTCTGTGGGCTACCTTTTCTTCTACTCTCATCTTACTGGCTTCCTCTATTTCCTCATAGTTTCTGGCCCCCTGAACTTCAGCTTGCTTGTGACTGTGACCTCTCTCCTCTAAGGATCTGCCAGCAGGTAAGTCCTAATTAAGTTCATTAGTGAGATTAGAATGGCCTTGAAAAGCCTGAAGATTGGGAAGTTGCCAGGGTCCTCAAAATTTCACAGTTTAAAGATCCTCAAGAATAATTTATTTTTGTAAAGACAACTGAGTTGCATGGACTACTAGGTTAAAAACAAACCAATGTGTGGTTACACAACTGCACACCAGGTGGCCCTATCTGCCCATGATTTTACAAACGAAAACCCAGTTACTAACAAGGATTTTCTACATGTGAGCTCTCTTTCCTTCTTGATGGATTACTTCTGTAATAACTGGCAATTTATGAACCTACGATTGATCAGCTTGTGCTGAATGCAATTTGGAATTACTCAGAGTAGAAGAGGCCTATTTGTCACCTGGGAGGTGGTGACCTAGGAGCCAGCAGAGTCACAGGGAAAGTAATTAGGTCAGAACCTTGCAAATGTCTAAGCCCCAGGCCCCCTTAGCCAGCTGCTCCAATGTCCTCTCTTTTCTATACCCCTGGCCTGACCCAGGGTCACACCCCACTTAGACCTGCTGGGGCTGAATGGAGCTGAAGACAAAGGTCAAGACAAGGAACCTGAGTCTTGGGGTCCTGGCAAGTGTGTCTCTGATGAGTTGACCACA